TAATTATTTATTTATTTTCATGGGGGGTCCAAAATGGGTTACAACAATGACTTATGACCCTATTTTCATAAAGAACATGCTCAACATAGTCTTGGGAATCTGACTAAAAAAGATCTTGTTTGCCGGTTTTTAAGAAAATTGGATGGAAAGCCTATCCCTGGCCTATAGAGGGCATTTAAGTTGTTTTTGGACATAAAATCAATGGAAGGTGTGAGCCATAATCATAACTACCTGTACATACAAATGTTTTTTTAATATATAATATAAATAAATAAATAAATAAAAAAAGAGAGTGAGACTCTAATAGGCCTATGTAAAGGTGGTATGATTGCATTTTTAAGTTCTCATCTATAAAATCTTCTCTTTTTTCCTTTCATTTCTACTCAACCTATACATTCAATAGATATAAAAGTGTGTAGAAATGGCAGGTTCCTCAAGTCATCATATAAAAAACATTTGTGTTTTCGGTGGATCAAGTCTTGGGAATGAAATAGAGTTTTGAAAATTAGCAAGTCATGTTGGTCAGGTACTAGTTGAGAGAAAGATTCATTTAGTGTATATGAGAGGCAACCTTGGGTTAATATGAGAGTGTCAATAACTATATTTTTAGGAGGTAATCAAGTTTTAGGAGTTGTCCCCAAAGCTGTAGCATATGGGGAGATCATTGGAAAAACAATTAGAGAGGAACTACAAGTCTCCACAATGTCTGATCGAATGAATGCAATGTTTAAACACACTGATGCCTTCATTGCCTTACCAGGTAGTCTGGGCATATTGGAAAAGATCTTTCATATTTTCTGTTGGGTTCAACCGCACATTCATCATAAACTCATAGGTCTGTGAAATGTTAATGGTTATTATGATAAGTTGTTGTCTTTTCTTGATCATGCTGTGGAACAAGAATTTCTAACATCTTCTATACGACAAATCATAATCTCTACTGCTACTACTGAACAATTTATTGATAAACTAGAATCTTTCACTCCTGTAATTGATCCCTCCATGAATCGCATAAATTGGTCAACTAAGGAAAGCGTAAAAATCTTAGGTTGGATTTGTTATTTCTTATATTTGTTTAAGTGTGTTTCAGGTTTGTCAGTGTTCGATATTTCAGGTGATGTCTTCTATACTCTATCTTTCTACCTTAGGACATTGAGGACAATGTCTCCTTTTGGTTGGGGGGAGAGGGTAGTAG